CCGCTCCCGCACGAGGCAGGTGAGGGAGGGTGGGGAGTGCCGGCTGGGCTCTGCCGAGGGGTCCCGGCGCTGAGTAAGGCGGCTGGCTGGCGGGGAGCGGGGAAGGTAAACAGGAAAAGGGCTGAGCTGGTGGCCGGGGGTGACTCACAGGTGACTCCAGGAAACCGTGGGGCCGGTGCCAGCCTCGCCAGGCTGGCACCACACACCACCTACCACCTCTTGCCTGGTGCGTGCCCAGCCCGCGGGGAGCAGGGGACCCCGGCAGGGAGGGCGGAGACGTGGTGGGAGTAGTGGGGGGACGGTGGGGAGTTAGGGTCGCCAACCCCTGCCCCCCCCATTCATTTGTCACAGACTGGGTGGGAGGCACCGTTTGGGGTGCTCTTCCCTGCATCCTACCTGTCCCTATCCACCCCAGCCCTGTCCCCCTGTGCTGGGTGACCATCCTGTCCCACCCTGGAGGTGGCTGCGTCTTGGGGCAGGCAGGTGGCTTCTGGCTGGCTCCTGGGGCATGCCAGGCTCTCCCGGAGACTGGCACACTCACCACCCTACACAACATGGCTATGGGAGGTTTTACAGCTTGAGTCCCCCAGCCTGCCTGCCTGTCTGCCCCTGCCCACTCCAGCCTGCATGGGGCTAACATAGGAACGGAACGAGGGAGACCACTATCGCCCACCCCCCAGCCCTCTGTCCCCCACCGTGGCTCCCTCAGTTTCTCCTGTGGGACTGGGATACTCGCAGGTTCATCAGCAGACACTGCGTGCATCCTTTGTGCCATCCCCAGCTGCGTGAGGCACAGGAGGACCTGAGCAGCTCGGTGGAGGCATCACCCCAAAGCTCCTGCATAATTTGGGGCAGCTGTGGGGAGGAGGAAGGGGTGTACCTTTTTGGGTGCAAATAGGGAGCTTTGTTCCCCGCCACCCACAGCCCCGGCACCTCCCGGTGCAGGGGCCATGCAGGGTGGGAAGCAGAGCACGCTGCTGGTGAAGGGTTGGGATCCTGGGTGTCTGGGATCCCCTCCCAGCTGTGCCTGCATGGCCTTGGGCGAGTCGCCTAGCCTCCTCCCTGGTCACCAGAGCAGGCGTGTGTCCCCCTCCCATCCCCTCATCGGTAACGAGGTCCTTTTTATTCCTTAGGGCCGAGAATTACTGGTGGCGGGGTCAGAATAAGCGGACCCTAAAAGTGGGCCAGTTCCCCCGAAACACGGTGACCTCGGTGGCGGGGCTGTCAGCCCATGACATCAGCCAGCCGCTTAAAAACAGCTTCATCCACACAGGCCATGGAGACACCAACCCGCAGCACTGCTGGGGGTTTCCCGATAAAATTGATGAGTAAGAAACTTTCTGTCTTCTCTGCTTCCCCTGCCTGCTCTCTGCCTTCCCTGCTGCCTGCTGGGCACGGCAACGAGCCGCAGCTTGACCGCCCCCACCTCCTTGAAGCATCTCTTCCCCCCTGCTGTACTGGGGACAGTAGCTCTGGGTGTAGGGTCCCTGTGGCTGGACTAACTCCCTTGCCTCTTCTTACTAATGGGGTCAGGGATGTGGGGGGCTGCTGTGCTTGTGGGGGGCTGTCCCGGGGGGGGACACACACACATCAGTAAGCACCACCCCGGAGGTGGCCACATTACCCCAATGCTTTTTGGGTGTCCCAGGGCTGCTAAAGCTGCACCTTTTAGTACCTGCGTGGAGGGGAGCCATGGTGGGGATACAGTCTGGGCCCACATTAACAGCATGAATCCTTTTACAAAGCAAAGCACAAAAAAAATCCACCAAAACGTTCTTTTTCCCCCATGCTCCATTGAGAAAGACTCTGGTTGGTCTGCGATGGGGAGGAGGGGTTGGGTGCCTGCACCCCAGGGCACCCCATGCCCCCTGCCAGATGGCACTGGCTGTGCCCAGCATGACTGCTGGGCACTGGGGGATGGTGGGCAGGGGCGCCTTGTCTCGGGGCAGGGGGCGTGGGGATGTCTGCCAGCTCTAGGCTGAGGAGGGATGTGGGAGGACTGTGTGTGGGGTGCAGGATAGGATTTCAAAGCCTGGAAAGCTCCAGCTGTGTAGACCCAGCTCCTGCACCAGACTCAGTGCATCCCGTGGGATTGTGAATCCCACCGCCGTTCGGCATCCCAGCCCTGCGACAGCTCTGCCGGTGCCCTCAGTCCCCGCCTGACCCCCCCACGGTGTCCTGTGCCGCAGGCTGTGCCGGCGCCCCTTGGAGGGCTGAACCGAGGCACCGTGCACACGGACCTGGCTCGTGCCCCGGCAGGCCTCC